AGCCCGTCTCGGCCCGGTCACCAAGGAGGTCGAAGACGCGCTCGTCCCTTCGTGCCGGGGTGTCGTTTCCCGGGCGCCCCATCGTTTCGCTGGCTGTCGGTTTAAAAGGGGGGATGTGGGTAGGGCCCGGTGTGGGAGGGGAAGGGGCGCCGGCGCCGGGGGGGGGCTGCTGGACGGGGAGAAACTCGAGTGGGGGCTGTCATCGGGAAAGGGAGATCGGGGTCCTCCCTCTATGAAATAAACGGCCTGTTCTCTGGTTTACTAACAGGACAGGTAAAGAGCAGAGAGTTTCCTTCTTTCTTGTGTCTGCCCTCTGTACCATCACGGCTGCCTTTGGTCTCAGCATTGGCGTTTTCCTGTGGGGCTTAGGCACTTTTGTACGTCTTCCAGTTGGTACTTGTTTCACGAATGAATCAGGCATTCACATGTAACTTGGATAGCAGTGAGCTAGACTCTAATCTGCTTTAAAGTGGCCCCGTGGATCAATGATGGGCGTGCCTCACTGAATGCTTAATCACCTTCAAATACGCCTAGCAAAAGATTTATGACTGTTGAAGACATGCATGTTGCCATAACCGTTCATAGAATTGCTGAGACCATACCCTTCCTCTTCATCCAAAAAAGGCTACTTTCTTTTTGTCCGAGGAGCAAAACGAAGCGTCAGGAGGACGTGCTACTATTGCTGTGCATGGGTAACAGTTTTCCTCAAGTCTCCTATTATTGCCCTTTTAGTGCTTGCATGTTGAAGAGTCAGTAAAAGACAAGTTTAAGAAATACGGTTGTGAATATGTGAGCCATTTGGTACGCAGGGTTTCCCACATCAGGTGGTACACAGGTGGAAGCTTTGAGTACTAGAGGTGAGTGCGGCTGTGTGCTGTAGTATGAGATAGAAGGAGAAGGAGCATCCTGCTAGGTTAAAATAGGTACTACAAGTGTACAGTCAAAGTACACGGACTAAGCTTAATTTCTGTGTGATGCAATAAAATTAGTTAAGTAGAATCTCACTTATTGTGAGACAGTGTGGTTTTGATTCTTAGTGAAGGGTACAATGCTAGTAAAAGCAGACCTTTAAAAAAATATGTATATATATCAGAAATAGATAATGAAACCATAATGTCTAGTGTTCTTCATTTTTTCTGTTCGGCATTTTGGCATTTTGTTTCATTTTGATTCCTTACCTTATCTCTTTACCATGAAAGCAAAAAGCATTGCAAATAAATATATGAAAGAAAACATTTTACTGGGAGAGGGTTTAAACAGGCTTTCATTGATTTTTTTTCATGAATGCTGATGCCTGACCATAGTCTCTCTTCCTAGAAACCCCAGCTGGTGGCCAGCAGTGCCCGTTTCTACCGCTTTCTCGAGGAACATTGCCCTGTTGTGACAGAAACTTACTATCCCACAATTTGGTGCTGGGAAGGTCGGGTGCAGACACTCCTGCGTCCCTTTATCACATCCAGACCCCAAGTACGATACAGGAAGTAAGTGCCTTTCTTCTGGAAAGCTGTTAATTGTGTAGCTGAATAGTGGTTACCTTACTCTGAGTGTGTAACAGCTACCATCATTGCTCAAGCTTATGCCCCATCTGTTTCGCTTTATGCCCACCTTTATGACGGACTCCACTGATCCTGTGCTTGGAACTGTCTCTGTCCTGGATTCAATGTATAGTAGGTTTAAAAGGTAGGGGCTCCCAAATGGCTGCATTATAGCTCAGGGAGTTTTAGTGCACTGAAATATTGGTAGCAATATAGGAACTTAGGTGGTTATATGTTCTGGTGATTGAGTGCCATCGATTTGCAACGGCCATGCGATCATGTCTGTTCAACTGACATGTTCAACCCTAACTGTAGTGTGGCCACCTCCAGCCCGGTTTTGAATACATAGACCTTTTGAGATTTCCAGAGTAACTCTCACCCTCAGGGTTTATCTTTTGTTCTTTTATGTCTAAATTCTGGTAGAAAAAAATTATATTTGTTGTTTGTCCTCAGCTGATCTCTCTCACACAGCAATGAGAATCAGTCTGGCAAATGAGGCATTTGGCACAAGAGCTAAGGAGAAGTACTTTTATGCTCCGGAACCTGGACGCAGCACAAGTTGTTTCAGCTCTGTTTGCATGGTAGAATAGATTTAGCGTTTAGCAGCTTCCCTTAGTTTTAGTAACTAGGAAACATTTCAGTGGTATAGCCATGTCCACTTTTTCTGGCTCTTCTTGTATACTCTTTATTTCAAGGTTTATGAGGTAAGAGAGGCATAGTTCCATGCGGCAATGCTTATTTTGCACCATTTGAGATTGTGTTGGCAGTACACACCAGCATTGCATCTACTTCCCATTACTGAAAAAGGGCAAAGCTGAGCTAGGGAGTCCGGCAAGGCTGATGAGCTTTAACGTGTTGAGTAGATGCCATCAGGGCTGTACTTTCGAATAAAAAGTCAAATGCAAGGTAGACTTCTATTTTGGTGGTTCCTGCACCAACCCTCTAATAGCGTGTGTTCATTGCCAGAGAAGAAGAAAGATGCTGTATGTTTCTAAAATGAGATTGAAACCCTTTTCTCATTGTTCAGTGCATGCTTAGTTTCTTGGGATATTGTCATATTTGTTGCATTCTTAAGATGAATGTTTTAAGAGTGCATTCTAGCAAAGTTTGTGGAGATGTAGGATAAAATCCTAGCTTCCCTGAAGCTGTAAAGGTATAGCAGTGTGTGTCCATGTTCCATATGTTTAAAACATGAACATTGTTTTCAACACAAAGTACCATCCATTATACGCGCTTCTTTCTTGGGAAAGGAAAGAAAAAATCTGCTAAACCTTTTAACATGTTGATTGCACAATGCTCTACCACAAGATTCTCAGACAATCCAAAGGAAAATGCAGTATACAAGCCTATATAAAATATAGGCAATGCCAAAATGCACGTTAGTTGCAAGAACTCCAGGACGTCAGTGATTCATGAAAGGCCAGCTCTTCAGATGCTGTAAACTGGCATTGCTCCATAGACTGACTGTGCTAACTCCTGTCAGCTGGAGGTATGGCCCTTGAAAAGTGCAAACATACCTAGTTAGGTGGTGTTTTATACTTTTAATGAAAAATTCAGATTTCACATCTGGTAGTTTGTGTTCTGTGAGCACTCTTAATAGTATGGATGTATTTTTAAATCTAATCATTATTGTCTTGAAATGTACCTTTCAGTGAGCTCATTAAAACAGCAGATGGAGGACAGATTTCGTTGGATTGGTTTGATAATAATGACAGCTTATATTATCCGGATGCCAGCACAAGACCCACTGTCCTGTTGTTGCCTGGTCTAACAGGGACGAGCAAAGAATCCTACATTCTTCATATGATCCATCAAAGTGAAACACTTGGATATAGGTGCTGTTGTATTTCATTCCTAGTATTTTGCTTTTTCTAGTACAACTGAATATAAGTGTGTATGTGTAGAAGATGCCTTCCTAAGGCAGGTGAGATCTAGAGAAATCAGTTACATAAGGAAGTATTATTAGTAGTAATAATAGTAATAATAATAGAAGTAAGTAACAGGCAGTAAATTCCAAAGGGCTCTTTTAGTCTCTACAGACATATTCCAGATTGCAGTGGAGGAAAGCTAAGTGTAAATAGGCCTTTGCTGCTGCTCTTTAAATTACAGTACCAGTACTCACTTGTGTTAACTTTGCACTTTCCGGAAAGGGCTTTGTATTCAGCTCCAAGACTTGTGTGGAGGGGTTGCTGTTGGGAGCAGGCCTAAGAGGAGGGCAGCTTCTGAATGCAAAAATCACTTGACTCAGCAGCCTCAAATTCCTGAGTATAGTATGCAGAATGGGGTCGTAGCCTGCTCCTACTGATGATGTTTAAATAAGAGGTTTGTAACCTCTTAGCTGCTTCATTTAATTTTGTTACTAAGGGTACGGGTCAGAGTTGGGCAAGATAAGTGGATTAGTCAATATGTAGCTTCCCTTACGTAAACATATTGCTGCTACTATGCTTTAAAAGAAATTGTCATTGCTCCAGGATCTGTATTTGGAATATTACATTTTGTCGCTGCGCATTGGCTTCTGGCACTAACTACGTTAAGTTCTTCAAATATGTATATATGAGTATTTATGTTTGTGTCTGGCTATCGCTTCTCTTTTTGGAGATTTGGATAACTGCTTGACTAAATTATGACAGTAAAGCAGCACTTTAAGGCTTAAAGTACTTTTTAAATCACTTTACACTTAATTTAGCAGTAAAAAATATCAAAGTAGGAAAGACCCCAAATCAACAACTTCTTAGTACTATTTTTTTACGTATGCTGACAGAAACATCTGTGTTTGATCACCTAAGAAAATAAAGTACAAGATTAAGAAGGAGAAGCTTCAGGTCAGATTTCAACAGAATGGTGTAATTTTGTTTTTAGATAGCAACATTTGAAAAATACCAAAAGAAGTTATTTTTATTGCGTTTAACCTATCTGAAATAGATATATTTCTATTTAATAAATTTATCACAGTGAGATAGTAGAAGACCAATAGAAGATTAAAATTTTTTAAGAAAAAGTATATCCTTAAATCAAGGTAATACTTACTAGTAGAAAATTCAGCAACCCCCACCAGGACAGAGAAAATAGAAACTTCTGCCATTCGGGACAAAAACTTCCCGCCCCTGAGAAGCCATTCAACTCTTAGATTCAGCTGCTATTGTAATTTTGATTTGACTCATTTCGTGCTGTTTAATAAAATTATGTAGATTTAGAGGGTATCTGCACACAGATCCATTACGTTCTCCTTCGGAGTAGTGCTAATTAGTTTAGGCTCAGCACTGCACTGACGTAGCTCGTGGTTCATACTTTGCCAGCTCAGAGTGCAGGCAGAATCAGCTGCATATACTATCTTCAGGTAGCTCCTGTTGCTCTCATCCTGACATCTGACCTGCACTGACAAATCCCAGAGTTCCTACAGAATCCCAGTGACTTCAGTGAATTCCATTTTGGCGTAAAGGTCCTTGCACATAGGTCAGGTCTTAGGATCTGTAGGGCTGTAAATATTTATGTACTAAATATATACATAGAACTGGCTCATTTTGTATGTATTTTCATGTTTTTAATCCTTTTTTAGATAAATGAGCAATCTAAAATGATCCTGGTACAGAAACGTCTAGTGAATGATGTATATAATCAAATTTGTTTTGTTGATTTTTAGATGCGTGGTTTTTAACAATCGGGGAATTGCTGGTGAAGAACTTTTGGTAAGGATGACTTTTAAGATGGATATCTTTCCTGTATAAGCAGTATATATGGAATCATCAGTGTCTGTTTGTAGGGCTCGATTTAAATGAGAGAAGCTCAAAGCTCATGTTGAAAATGCACAGGAAAAGAACTTATCATCTAGTCGATCAATAATATGGTGAGAGTCATCTTTGATTTATTTTATTTTAAAACTTAAAGAGGCCACCCTGTCAACACAAAATTTTTGTGAACGTGACACTTTAGGAAATTATTTAAATCATTAATACCTACAAGAATAAAATGAGCAATCCTTCCACTTTTTTTTCCAAAAACACCTCAGTATCTAAAATGTACACATCCAAGAAATGGTGTTCACTCAATACAATTTGCTGCCATTGTTTTAATATACAAATCCAAATACGAGCAATGGTAATTACTTCGCTAATCACCGATATGAATTTAAACTAGATTTTGATATGGTTAATAAGCTTTGCCATTAACATTGATCCATGCTATGTATTATTAAATGAAAAAATTACATTTATTTAGATAGTCATATACTAAAAGTTAAATGTCTTTTTTTATTTTTCTCAGCAATTATGACACAAGCTCAGCTATAAAAGGAAATTTGTTGGGCTCAGAACATACATGTTACGTTTGCTGAGAAATAACTGACCGTTCCACAGATGACTATGTCTTGAAGCTAAGCATTTTCTGCAGCTAGGCACAAGACGTGATGAAATATTGCTGAATAAGCATTGTTTCTTCATATGCATTTTGTTGACAGTTCTGCAGCTGGTATGAGTGTGCATAATACTCGGTATTGTTTTGCATTTTTTTTAATCCACTGATTTCAAATTTTAAAAAGCTTAGGATGTTTTCCCATAATCAGTTAAAGCATTTCAATGCGAATATTGCCATGTTAAGAGCAGTTTTCTGCATACTTTTGGAGATGGGTCTACAAAGCAGTTTTGTGACACACAAAGTCCTTATTGATGAATTTCTGAATCGTTAAAAGATCTCTTGTTTGGATGCATTGTTTGTATTTTAGTGTAATCGGATTTACATATTTAAGCATTATAAGATCTTACTGTGAAACAACACAGCTGAAATTATAACATTTTCTGCAAGGGGGGAGGTTCTACATTTTAATATAAAATCCTCAGTTAATGAGTTTGAAATGTAGCGGAGCGACATAGTAGAAATTAGTCATGCAAGTAATTCTTTTTCTAGTCTCTTTAAAGATACATTTAAATTTACATTAAATAATAACTCTTTAAGGGTAAAAATGTACTTCTCATTCGTGTGTTTTGGAAAGTTATTATGAGTTACTGTTATGGAATAATCAGATATTAGATAACAACAGCCAATGATGTGAGCTAAGATGGTGTTTTAAAATATATTCATACAATGAGTAGATATACATTAAATTTTTAGACATTAATTGAAATAAAAGTGCAGCATTTCTCTCTAGTTTTATAAACCTTTAATCAAATATACTTTCACGTGGAATACATTAGACCCTAGTTTCCAAAAATAATTTTTTTTCCTTGTAAGCTTGACAATTTAATTAAAATAAAACACATTCACACTGTTTATAATTAATCAGGTGTAATAAAGCGAACAGTGATTCATGTGGATGAGAATTGGAAATGCAGCATAAAGTGGAAATTGAAAACATTTTCAGCTTTAATTATCCAAGCTTAGCTTTTCTCCCTTCTGTATTTTATCTTTTACTTCAACTTTTTAATATTCTTCTTAAATTAAACTTTAAGTAATTAATTTCTTCTAATTAAACTTATTAAATTACCCACAGATTTCCAGGCTGTTTAACTGAAAGCCATTTAAAAAAATACCTGAAAATACATTGCTGCCTGAGGCAACAAATAAGTTCAAGTTACTCATAATTACATATTTGTATATTTATTTTTAAAGTTTATATTGAATTTTGTCAGCCTAGCTACTACCGAAAGTTGAGTCAGGGTCACTAACATGTGTAATAACAATTGTATAGTTAAAAGCTCTCTGTTGGCATACGTGAAATCTGGAGAGCACCATGAGAAAAATTTATCTTACTGAGATTGTCATTGTAGCGAAGAGTAGCTGTCTCCCAGACAGTCCCCCAGACTGTGGGCTGTATCAGTTGTCTGCAGAGGTGAAGCTCTAAAGCTATGCTTACCCTTAAAGTAAGCAGGGAAAGCGTTAACCAAATTCCAGTGATGGCAGGGGAAGTCCTTGCAAATTCCAATGCAAGGTCTGAAGAGATGCTAACGGTAGACATCGCTTCATTGCCTTAGCTAATAGAAAATTTTAATAAATTAGGTAGATGATAGTGGTGAATTCAATTATCTGTTTATTTGCTTTTACTGTGTGTAGAATCTAAATATTGGCTAGCTTTAAAATGCTAGCTCCAATACTTTGTTTTATATTTAAATGTGGGTGAAGATGATGAAATTGTCATTGTAACTTTCCTTTCTGTGCATTATAGCCCTTGTGATCTGTTTTCACTTCCTCAGAGTATTTAAAAAATATCAGTGCCTATCTAGCTCTGATCTAGTTCTGTCTAGTTTAGATAGCAGCTCTATGTTCAGGTTTCATCTAATGACTCGATGGTTGCAGATAATAAGCATATGTCAGATATGCTTTTTTTTGTAGTGATAAGAAATGTTATCACTAACTCTTTCCTCCACCTCCTCCTGAAATGCTCTGGGTTCGTATTTGCCACTTAGTGCAGTTTCATGAGAAATATTACATTTGTCCTGTTATATAAATGATCCAATATCCAGTTTGCTTTGTCCTTAAAGGATGATACAAAAGCTTATGATGACATTTCCCTCTCTGACTCATTACAGACACCAAGGACTTACTGTGCAGCTAACACAGAGGATTTAGAAGCAGTTATTCATCATGTACACAACTTGCACCCCTCAGCTCCATTTATGGCAGCCGGTGTTTCTATGGGAGGGTAAGAAATTATGTAAAAGAAGTCTCAGTGTAACTGTGATCACAAAACAAGACTGTTATAGCCTGATTATAAATTACTATGCAATATTTACATGACTTGCTGAACTGGAACTACTTGCGATCTATCTCCAACAGTCAATATTCAGAACACTTCTAGAAACTTAACATCTCTGAGGCCTTTATCTCTGTGTTAAATAAGGTTGAAATTGGCCAGCATTCAAAGGCTGAGGGAGAGGGGAGAATGAGAGGAGACGCTGACAGACAGACTGACTGACAAACAGGTGGGCGATACAATCTTTGGAAGCCATGGAGGCTGTCTTTGGAACAGAGAGAGAAAAAATAGGAACTAGAGCTACCATATCGTGGCTCTTAGCAAACTCTGGAAATTACAAGATGTAACCTCACTCTGGGTTCTGCAGTACGTGGGTTGGTTATGCTGGAAGAGATGTGGGTATCTGCTCTGGCTCCGAAACATGAAGTAGTAGTGATGTTGAAACCAGTATGGGTTGATCTAGCATGTGGCATTAAGACTTGCTGCGTCTTGGCTTCTCTCCAGAAACCGCAGCTAGAACAAACAATGATAACACAGTTGCTGAGAAAAAGCGCTTCTAGAAACTAGAAGAAATGTTCAGACAGCCTCTCTAATGACAAACATAGGAGAACAGAACTTTCATTCGAAATTCTGCAGAGATAGCGGTAACTCCCTGAGAATTCCTTTCTTTCTGATGGATTTTATGGAGCATGAGCAGATACTGCCTTGTATCTTGACACTAATCTACTAAGGACGCGTAGGAGCTTTGGGACAAATAAAGATTTGTTCAAGCAATACACTTACTGATAATCAAGTGAAGAAGTAACTTGGGAGCCTCAAAATGAATTAAACCAGTCTTTTTCCGTTAGTGCTGCCGTGATTTTGCCAGTGTCTTCCATGTAATCAGGATTTAGGGCATTTTTCTTATTTTGCTTCAGAATCATAGATCATAGAACAATTTAGGTACCAAGGGACCTCTAGAGATCAACTGGTCCAAGCCCTTGCTCAAAGCAGGGTTAACTTTGATGCTAGATCACGTTGTGTGGGTCCTTATCCAGTCAATTTGTAATATCTCCCATGATAGAGATTCTTTGGGCAAATTGTTCTAGTGTTTGACCAGCCTTACTATGTAAAGTTATTCCTAATATCCATTTGGAATTTTCCTTGTTGCAACTTGTGTCCTTTGCCTCCTATTCCCTTGCTGTGCAGCTCCAAGAAGAGTCTTGTTGTCTTTCTTACAACCACTTTACGTAGTTGAAAACAGCAATAGTATCCGCCTTTAACCTTCTCTTCTCCAGTTTATACAGATCCATTTCCTTTAGCCTCTCATATGTCACGTGCTCCAGTCCCCTAATCATCTTGGTGGCCATCTCCTGGAGTCTCTTACATGTGTCTGTGTCTGTCTCGCCTGGTGAGCCCAAAACTGGACATAGTACTCCAGATGCAATATCGTAAGTGCCAAATACAGGAAAATAATTACTTCCCTAGACCTATTTACTATGCTCTTATTAACACGGAACAGCATGAACTGTTTTCTTTATTGCTGCAAGGATGCATTGCTGATTCACGTTCAGCTTGCCCAGCTGCAAAACCACTTTCTATTCCAGTCAGCCCACCCCACTTCAAATGCAATAAGGAAGCATCCAGAAGGTTGAACGTAGTCAGGAGTTTATTGTTCATCCTGTGGCCTTCTGCCACTCTGCCTCCACTTTTGGCATATCAGAATGTACTTGTGCCTTAAGATCAAACAGTTGTCCTGGAAGATCAAACAGTACTCTTGGGACCCTAGGCCCTTCAGGGCCATCTCACGTGGGATGCTGCTAACCAGATCCCTGAACAAATTAAAGTCAATTCTCTTGAAGGCCGATGTTGTGATTCTGCTGCTTACCTTCCCCACTTGCTCCTGATTATAAAACCCCCCACTGAATGACCTCGGCAGGCAAGGCTGATATTCAGCTACACATACCTGAAAAGTTCTTTGATATATGTGAGTAGCAAATCCATAGAATATTTCCCCTAGTTGGGTCATGAAGATTGTCCTCAGTGCTCTCCAGAAATCACCTAGTTTATTTGCGTCCTCTGTTGTTGTTCCGATCGATGTCGGGATGGTTGGAGTTCCCTGTGATGATGAAGCACAGGGCCTGTGATGATGAAGCTTCTTCCAGCTCTCTAAAGACTTCATCTAATTCTTCCTCTTGATCAGGAGGGCTGTAGCAGATGCCCGCCATGATATCCCCCTTGTTGGCCTCCTCTCTGATTTTGATGTATGAACTCTAAATTGGCAAATAACCTGCACCGGAGAAAAGTTCTCTATGTTCAAATGTGTTCTTCGCTGAGTGCAAATCCTCCTCCTTGTCTTCCTGGCCAGTCCTTCCTGAAGAGCATGTTTGCATCCATCACAGCATTCTTGTCTTGTGAGCCTGTGAGCCGACCATGTCTCTGCGATCCCAACACCCAGGCTTCTAGTTCTGTTTTTTTCCCATGCTGTGTGTTTGTGTACTGGAACATGAGATGGGCTGCAGTCATGCTGCTTTCTCAGGGAAGCATGAGAGCCTCCCCTAATCCTTTGGGTACTTCCTCATGGCCCTCCAGGCCTTCACTTCTCTTCGGGCTTTGGTCTCTTCCCCTCAATAAACCTAGTTTAAAACTTGGCTCATGAGGTTAGCAAGCCTGTTGGCTGCTATCCCACTTTGTCAGATTGATGCTCTCTCTCCCCAGCTCAGTCTTGTTTGCATGCAAAACATGAAATAACATGCTGTATTGCAAGAACATGTTTTGCTGGAGATGTTCAAAGCCAAAGATACGCCTTGTGCACACTTGGAGGCTTGTTTCAATGTTGAGATACGGTTGAGAGCACAGTAGTTCTTCCTGAGTAACTTCATGTTTGGTGCACCGTTACACTAAAATTAAGAGGGCCTGGGTGTATTAGGGGATGCACTGGGTTTTCAGAGCAGAAGGAGCAGTATAAGCTAAACTTTCTGTGCATGGTCCACGGCCCTCAGTATCGTTTCTGCCCTGGGATTAACATAATTATGGTATCCTAAGTAGTAGCGGAGTCTGTTAGTACGGCACAGGGGATCTGTGTTCTATTCCTGGCTTTTACCTCACCACTACTACAGGGTGATTTTTAGGCAAGATGTTCCACCTTGTTCCTCCAATACTTTTTTAAAGCCCTGAACCACACAGAGAAGGCATATGCTTAATTTTACATAAAACTGGAATAGTCCTTAATCATCCACATGGGGACTGTTTCTGTGCTTCAGAATTAATTGGAGCACTTACATGTTTAAAATTAAGCAGGAGCAGAGATCTCATCAGGGGCATATTTTGAAAATCATCCACTTATCCTACTCTTATAACAGTTTTTATCATTTATTTCTTTTCAAAATTTTCTGAATAGCCAGTTAATTTATACATTAAGTGTTTGGCCAATAAAGAAGAAAAATAATTATTCATTTCACAAAGGTATAAATATAAATGAAAGCGCACTTGCTCTCCTGATGCTCAGCATTGTTTTGGAAAGGGCCTATGTTTTCTAACAGAGAGATTTCTAAACCTTCTCCCACCGCATATATTCTGTAAATTTCATTAGGAAGTGGCTTTTTGTATAACTGCAACATTTTTATTGGTTTATAGCTCAATTTTCTTCTTATACTAAATGGACCGATGACTCATAGGTTTTCCCTCTTCTGTGGGTGGCAGGGAATACATTTTACCTATCTGCTACGTGTGTCACAGGTGACCCTCCCCACTGGGTTCACTGTGTGAGCTGACTGCAGGAGCACACCCAAGTGATGTTTGTTGTTCTTTCCTCTGCTGCTTCCTACTAACTGGCAAGACTTTGGAAGACCAAAAGTTGGTCTCTCTTTTGCCTTGCTATCCTGTCATTCAGTAGGTTATGCATGGGGATAAAATCTCTGTGATGGCAGGCTGGTTCTTGACGTCAGTGTCTCCCAAAGATGAAGGCAAGGTACAGAGAGCTGGTGGTCCAGGGAGCTATATTAAGCTATAGAGCTAATGATATTTTGAGTTAAAGGTTGATATTCAAACGATTGTTGGTTTCCAAGAAAATCTGGAGCCTCAGACAGTACAGTAAGACTTCTAGTTTTTCTTTTTTTTTTCCTTTCACTATCTTTGTGCTAATTTAATTTTTCTACACCTGAAGAGTCACGTACTGGTGAAATCCCCCCTTTCTTCATCTCAATTATACATCATCAGTGGAGACTATAAGTTGCAATTGGTCAGAAGGGCAAGACTTAAGCCATTTATTTGGCTCATAATTTTTTTGCTAATTTTATTAATTATCTACCACTTCATTCTTTACATACTTTGTGCTAAATAACAGCTGTATTCTCTCAAATGTATGAGGTGGAATAAAGGTATTGCCTTCAACTCAAAAGATAGCTTCATAGTGAGGCGTATCAGGGGCAGTTTGCATTTATTGGGCAGCCTGATCAGATTTATCGGGAAGACGGTAGTTTTGTTCAAGAGTTCTAAGACCTATGAAATATTGTCAAACTTAATAAAAATTTAGGAGAACCTGCTCCTTGAATAAGGTACATTGACTTGACCTTTTATTCTCCTTCACTGATAAAAGTATGAATAGTACATCTCTACTTATTTTAAATGCACTATTCTCCACATTCCACACAGTGCACTCAGTTCCTCTCTGCACGTAGAGAACAAAAGCAAACTTTGTGCGTCAGATGTTAATTACATTAACTACCTTCTAGAAATGCTAGGCAGAACTATATGGCTGGTAAAAGAAACTATGTGGAAAAACAGACAAAAAGGTGGCTGATTGTTATATTTACTTTAAACCAAAACAAACAATTTGATAGTATATATGTTTCTGTTTTTCACTTCTGTTTATAGCATGCTTCTTTTAAATTACTTGGGCAAAACTGGCAGAGACACTCCTTTAATGGCAGCTGCAATTTTCTCTGCGGGTTGGAATGTTTTTGAATCTGTAGAATCTCTGGAGAAGCCACTCAACTGGCTGCTTTTCAACTATTACTTGATTACTTGTCTACAGTCCTATATCAGCAGGTGAGTTGCCTTCTAAATTATATAGCAAGGTGGAAAGATGTTAGCATGAGATCTACAGCAGGTATAAAGAAGATTGTCAAAGTTAATACTGTAACAAGTTTTCACATAGCTGTTCACATGTGTGCATTCCCCTGTAAGTTTTGAAATTAAAAAGACCTTTTTGCAAGATAAATTTTCATCAATGTGGCTAAATTTCTCTGCTCCTCAAGGGAGACAGCACAAGACCAATGCACTTCTTGATTCATGGGTAAAGCAAACTGTTCTATTAATTTGTGGACATATGCACATATTGAGCTTGAGTGTATTTTTATATATATTCTAAGTTTTAGAAGTCATCCTCACTGCAAAAACATGGAAAGGATTAGTTCGTCCTTCGCTTTATAAAATTAAAGTGTATTTTATATTCCTAAATATTTGATTCTCTTTGGCATCTTTCTAATGACTCATGCAGATTCTGAATATATTTCTGGATGTGCCTGCATAGGAACAAACAGTTCTCCTGCTTTTGGATTCCAGACAGATTTTTTAATATGACAGAAAATTAAAAACAAGCATATTATTGAACTGGGAATTATTTCTATACATGTATCTGTAAAGCAGAGGACATCTATTTGTAAAGCAAAAAAGCAAAGCCCTCCAGTTTTCCTCTCTTTCTTTATAGGCATCGACAAATGTTGGAGAAATTATTTGATATGGATCTTGTGATGAAGGTATGTGAACATATTACTTCTGCTTTAGATTGACACTGTTTTCCAAATGCTGACATAGTTCCCTGTTTGAATTCTGTACTTCAGGCTAGAACTGTTAGAGAATTTGATAAGCAGTTCACTTCAGTCATGTTTGGCTACCGTACAATTGATGATTATTATGAAGACGCTAGCCCATGCCGCAAGCTGAAATCAGTAGGAATCCCAGTGTTATGTCTAAACTCTGTGGATGATGTTTTCTCACCTGGTCATGGTAAGTTTAGCCTTTGAAAAACATATTTCTCTGTATGTGCAATCATTAAGACAAATTATATAGGTCCAAGAATGAACTATGTGTGGAGTTTTATTTAAATTTTACTTGTACATAGGATCAAAACCTCCCAGGATGGATCAGTCTTGTGATTTATTCTACAGTGTAACACACTCTAAAGACAGATAAAACGTGCGATTATAGAGAGGACTGATTAGTACAGAATGCAGAAGCTCGTGGGGTGGCAGTCATCTAATCAAGTGTCACCTGCCTACATCTGATCCAATCTCTTTAGGTTCTCTTTATAGTTGAAGAAAGAAATGTGCACTTTTAGGATGTGAGTTATCTCATTGTAAGGAAGATATCAGATGTATTGCCCCCCAGAAGTTTCCACTTACATCCACTGAGTATGAAGAGAGGCTATAGTGAGGAGCCCAGTTACAGATTTCTGGAACGTTCAGAGTTCAATGAAAGTTAAATCAAGTATTTTTTATTATCATGCTTTGAGATAGTCCCTATAAAAAATTTCTGGGACTTGCTTATGTTTAAGATGACTTGAAATCCTCAGTAACTTTTGCTGCTCATGATTTCAGTGCCATAATCTCAAGTGCCCGATAATTAAAAATAGGAAAAATTATAAGCTACCATGTAGGCCAAAATCTAGGATAAGGGCAAAGACATGGACAATATGTGCTTCTAGGAGACAAACGGATATTAACAAAAATCTAAACACAAGATGAAACTGGCCAACTAGCAGCAATATTAGCTAGTAACCAGTAGGCTGAAAAGTCTGTTTACCTTTTTCTTTCTATTTTCTGCTAAACACATGGTCATTGTGAACATTTTACTCTTGATCTTTAACCATGTTGCTAACTATCTTAAAAAGATCTACTAATTCCTGCAGTCTGTGCATTGGTTACAGTGTTTGAGAAGTGAAAGAGAACAAAGTTAATGTGGAGGAAAAATTATATACTCTCCTTAACTATAGTTAACAGCTGGTTGAGGACACCCTCTTCAGCAATTAGCACTTAACAGATGAGAACAACATAGAAGATTAAAGGAACTGGAAGACACTTTGTGTGTGTATATATTATTTGTTTGTGCCCACATATACCACACATACAGAAACATGCACATGCATGTTACTGCTCCTGTTTTGAATACCTGTTAGAGATAAATGTGACATGAAAAGGGCTGCTCCAGTAAAGTGCACTAAGCAAAGACAGTCTGCTTGCTTATCTTCTTTGGCCCTGACATTGGCCAAAACAGTCATGTAAGATCAGGGCAAGCGTGCAGTAATACTGCTGCAGAATACTGCATCTGCCTTCAGCAATTTGTGGTTCGGGAACTTTCCGAGCCAGAGTAAATCCCTTTGTATCTACTAGCCCCTACTAGACTTTTTTCCCTTGAAACTGTCCAGTTGCTGTTTCTGTTATAAGCATATGCTGTCCTGGAAATGAGAGTTTCTGAACGTGGCCATTACCCTAAAATCTGTGTCCAAATGTAAAAACTAGCTAGTGATTCTGAAGATAATTTTTAGTGGATCTTATGACCGTTGGGATGACTTCCCCCATACTCCCAGAAGGAAGGTGATCCATTGTGTCATGCTTGTGCCAATAGGTATCTTGGAGAGGGAACAGTGGCTTCACCTCTGCTTTTAGCTTTAGGTCGGTTTGTGGGTTCAGCTCTAAAAAGGAAATAATAACTGTGGCAAAGCTAACTAGCTAGCACAGGTAAAAACAGCAGTGAGAAGGTGATGGTGGAATCACAAGTCTGGAGGATTTGTTAACCTTTTCCAACCTATTCTTACTGTGACTGATACGTTTGTTCGCTAGATTAAAGCTACTGCAGATACTCCTTCCCCTTGTCGCTTCCTTTTAGAATATAACCTCCAGACCTCAAAAGCCAAAGCCTGAGCCCATGTGGCTTGGCTGTGCAAAAGACTGTGTCCCCTAGAGTACATCTGTAGCAGACCCTTCCTGCCTTGGAACTGGTCTTTAAAAGAAACACAACTCTCAGTGAACAGTGGGGATGGTTTCTCGTGCAAGATTAAGTATCAAACTTATTGTCAGAACTGAACAATAAAAAAAAGCCACAGAAGTTTTGCAGCATGGAGAGAAGTGAGGGAGGGCACAATGAAGAACCTGAAACAAGACATCAGTCTGTTGTAATGACCGTCCATCCTCTTAAAATCTGATCCCAACCTGCCTTTCTCCATGAAAATGTCTGGGTCATTAGGCCACCACTCATTGATTCCTTGTTCACAGAGTTATGGTGTTGCCTGTAAACCACTGCTGTAGTGGTAACTAGTTTATCTTAGGAAGGGCTGCCGGAGCAAATATTGGTTTACAGCTAAGAGCACAACCCTGTTATCTGTGTGTATCCTTGGCTCCTTTTTTGTTGATTTGTGCACTCCTGCTGTGAAAAGTGTTGCTGGCAGAAGACACAGTGCACTCTGATAGCAGCCTAGAAATTGTGGCTGCTGACATCAGTTGTTGGAGTTCATTCAGCATGACACTTTCGCTGACTGCTTTATGTTAGCAAGGGGCTGGTGCTCTGGGATGTGACTTCATTCTCACAACTTGCTTGTTACTTCTGACTTAAAAGTGTGTGGAGACATGCAAGCCTTTGGCAACCAGAGGCAGCTTCCACTAACAACTGTATAATGGACTCAAGGCTGCAGACTTTGTTCTCAGCCAGACTCCAGGCTTTCACTCACTTTGGGGACTGGTTATTTCATGCCTCATCTCTCCCAGTAATACCTATCAGCTTTCAAGCTACCTTCCTCTTCCGTTGTAGACAGCTGTAGTTGCAGACACTGGGACAAGGATTAGAAAACTCATTAGGGAGAGCGCTGTGCCAGAATTCCTATGTGTTCAAATTTCCTGTATAAAGCCAGCCATGCCTTCCTACAACAGATGACAGGAGGATGCATACCCAAGTCTGCTTTGCCGCTACACGGCACAGAGTTGTTCAAGAGTGACTTTCCTTCAAAAGTGCAGATGATGACTCTGCTGCCTCTTACTACCTGACCAGTTCTTCTCATGTAGCTGTTGGTACACTGTGTACTTCCCAGCAATTGTTTTTGAATATATTGTGAAATGTGCCCTTTGATCTCAATCCAGGACTGGGAAGCAACAATTCATTCCCAGTCCTTCCTTGATGCTCTGATGTTTAAAGTTCATAGAGCTTGGCAGCTGGTGTATCTGTAGTTTAATTCTGCAATGCAGTTGTCAGGTTGCATAGTGCAAGTTAATGAAAACAAATGCTTTCTTTTATTGCATGAGACTTCTCTCGCCATAACTAATCTAAACAAGCCACTGCTTGAGGAAATGTGTAATTCAACCAAGTCAAGCCCTTTTATTTTATAAGTGTCAGAAATAAATTAAAAAGATGCAATGTCAGCATTCACTATCAGTGTCACATTTAACTTTTCATCTCAAGTGGCATTTTTCTCCTCAGAGACTTTCAGCAGCATATTAACTATTCAACTTAAATTTCGTAATATTAATGCTGAGCCAGTTGCTGCTGGTGAGTGTTGCGCTCACACTGAAAGCCTGCCCAGGCAGTTGGATGCCCTGCCAGCTTCTTCCTGATCCCTGCACTAAGTGGATATTTGAAGCTCAGTTAACTTTTTACTCAACTCTCTGAACCTTTTCAGTCCCTCAGAATCCAGACTTAAGAGTAATCATTCCTAGGTGTTATTTTGCATCCTATTATGTAAACAGCAAAATTGAATGAAGTTGTCTGGAAAGACCAAATGGTCAAGGATTGGAAAAAGATTGAGAAGGATAATAATTATTAGGGTGAGAGTGTAAGTAACATGGAGAAAGGAACCAAACAAGGGAATGGGAAGTCTGACAGCCATGAATTACTTAAGCCTATGTTGCTTCCTATGTGTGGTTTTCTTTTTTCTTTTCAAAAATATTTTTTGCAGAGAACATACAACAAATTCATTTTGAACAAGGAGATTCTGCACGTACATATGTGCCTCATGGTTCTGTGATCACAAATAACAAATTTGTACACTATTGGATCAAAGAGCAGTACAGATTTTGGTCAGTGGAAGCATAAGTACAAGGTTACATTTGGACAAAAATGAACAGTAGTGTCTTTTGGCATGCCACCCTATATCCCAGAGTGCATTGCATCCAGTGCTCCATTTGTCTGCTCTTTACATTGCAGAATTTGCTCTGCTGCATTGTGGGTTTATTTGTGGATGGCTAACAATCCCTGGAAACAGCCTTGAGAAAAGTATCACACCACAGCCAAGCATCATTTGCATTTTGGCACTGCAGAGCAACACAGCATTTTCAGTTCTCTCCTGAGAAGCTGCAGAGCAAGAAACTCTGCTGGGCGGTAGTCATAAAAATGGTGACCCAACTGAATCAAGATTGACTGTGTCAAGAACAGGCTTTCCTGCTCACCATAGAGTATGTAAGAGCAGAGATGTAAGTAGGTCAGACCTGACACCTACTAAAAATCCTCACCGCAGATGTAAATAAATGGCTGCATATTCAGCACAGTGCTGGGGCTTGTGATAAGAGCAATGATCCGTGGCAGAGTCCTGCTGTAAATGAATGGTAATTAGAAAAGGGAGAACTTCAGGATGGGGAAGATGACAATCATAAAGACCTGTGTGCAGCTCATACCTTATCTGGCACAGACGATAACCAGCATCAGAGTGCTGCTAGGCCTTTAGGAGAGAGTTTCTGTGGCTGTTTGGAAGCAGGCAGCACATGGCATCCACTACAGTATTGCCAGTCAGTTTGGGAGTGAATAACTGACCACATGCAAAATGAATGACCATCTTGTTTTTGCACAGCCTGAACTGGTTAGAGATGTATTCAGGCCAGTACACAGCTGGTGCTGCATCAGAGAGGATCAATGGAGTTCCAGTGCTACCTTTGATTCTTGGACATCAAATCTGTCTCTCCCCAGGCGCTCCTCCCGTATATCCTGCCTTATAAGCCAACTCATCAGTACCCTCCATGCCCAAGGAGGCAGCTGCAGGATGGCTGTGGAAAGTGTGATTCATTGCCAGGAGCAGGAATGAGGGACTCAGGGCTAAAAAAAAAGAGGGACTCAGGCCTGTGCCTGATTCCTGCTTCCCCATCAGTGTTCTGTTTAACGTGGCCCATGCAGTACTGGAGGGAGGAGGAGCAGATGGTTTGGTACAGATAAGTGGGCAAAATCCCCTGCAGTGGGCAGAAGCTCACATAAATTGTAGCCACCATCTGTACACTGCAGTGTGTTCATCCATGGAGTCCAAGAGAGCCAGATCAGAGATTCATGGGCAGATTAACTGAAGCAGCACCCCAGACAAGGGTTTGCTGTGGTCTGAAATTATGCACATGCTGGATTGCAAGAAATAACACATTGTTTTCTGCATCTGTTTCCAGCCTGTGCTGTTCCCCAGTCCAGGCTGGCAGGCCCAAGGTTTTCATTTCATTGACTTGCTTTTTAGTTTTGGCCTTGCCTAAGTATTTCTTTAAAAGACCCAGAGGTGGTATGTGCAATTAAAAAATGCTGAACAAAGAAAAAGTCCAGGGACTTTTTTTTACAGAGTGAGAGTTTCTTCCACCTAGAAAAGAATCCAAAATACTACATGTCAGACTCTAAACTGCTTAGATGTGTGCAACTTTGAAATGAGGGAAAGAGTACAGAGGAAGGAAAGTGAAAGAAGTGAATAGCCACAGAGCAGCAGAGAGCCTCGTATATTCTGCAAGAGAATCCCCGTTGTTCTCTGGAGCTAAGTCTGTGTCCCATTCAGGATGCAGTCAAGTACCTTGTAGTATGGGCAGGAACCTTATAACACAACATTCATAAATGACACTGGCCTTGCTTCAGATGCAGTTGGTTTAACCTCTGTGCTGCAGCCCTGGGGTGGAGCAGAGCATGTCATTCCACACACTGCTAGTAGGGACCTGTCAGGCACAGACTGCTCCCCAGACCTCCCCAGGGCCATGCTTCTGCCCAGCTCTATTTTAACTTGCACTCCCCTGCGTCTGTTCGCTACAGTCATGCCATTCAAGATCTTCCGTGTAACTTAGTCTGGCCTGGAGTCGCCTTTGGCTAAGGAATGGGTACCATGCTGTTATTCTAGTTGCTGGACGTTAAGGCAAATCAACATCTGAAGCACACAACAAGGCATTTGCCAGCATCCAAGTGAACCTAAGGAACTTGTGCATAAAGAAGGTGGTGATAGGCAGGGATAAGGTCTTTTCAAGGATAATGACCTTTGAGATAGCAAAGGGTGCAGGGGGGTCTTTGTAGAAGTTTAATCAGAAAGGGGTGTAGACAGCTGAACCCACGAAAGTCAACCTGATTAACGGTCTCTCTTTAAAAAATGATTTTTAATAAATAAGTCAGCAGTAGAAGTCCCACGAATGACTCACTGCTTTGTATTGTAGTACCAAGGCATTTTTGATTTAGCAATGTATGACCTAAAACTAGATTTATTTTCTTGTGGAATCATAACCTTTTTTAGACAATACAGTGAAATCTCTATTACTTCTGTTTGGACAAAGCATGTATTCTTTTGCTGTTGTTTTTTTCTGTCAGTCCAGAATAATATAAAGTAATCATTTTATTTCATTTGTGAATGTTGTGTTATAAGGTTCCTGCCCATACTGTAAGGTACTGGACTGTGTCCTGAATGGGACACAGACTTAGATCCATAAAACAGCAGAGATTCTCTAGGAGAATATATGAGGCGCTCTGCTACTCTGTGGCTATTCATTTCTTTCACTCTTCACTGTAATGTACTGAGACTTCTGCTTTGTTTAGAAATATATTTAGTATACTTAAAGCTTCGGAGAAAATGGCAACTAATTTTCCACAAAGTTCCACTGCTATGTCAGACAGTTCATATGATAATACTGTCATCCTGTCGCACTGAAATACCATTTGTAAATTCATTTGCTTTCTCTGTTGTTAATTGACCTTTCTTTTCTTTCATAAAGGGAACTGCCCAAATGATAGTGACCATTGATTATGCCATGCATCTATGCTCATTCAAACTAGGACTTAACTGCAGCCTGCCCATGTGCATGTGCGCATCTCAGGGTACAGTGCAGTGATCACTTTAAGCTAACCATAGGCTGTCACGGACCCACAGTCCTCATGACGGTTCCTGCTACCTTTCATATACTGGCATTAACATGGTGAACCAGATCAGGGAACTGATCCAGCTGAAAACTAACCCAGCAGAAGAAAAATCCTTGTACTGTTCAGTCTAATATTACTTAAATCATTTTCTAGCAGTCACTATTCAGTAGAATACCACCAGCCTACTATGTAACATGGGGCAGATTTCTGTGACCTTGTACATTTGTTTGCCCGTTGTCTTTTTCTGTTTATCTTGCTTATTTAGATTGTGCGTTCCTCAGGGCTCTTGCTGTCTCTTGCTGTGTTTGCATGGTGTGGTCTAAATATGTAAGTGTAAATGTAAGGCAAATTAGATATAGTCATGATAATAACCCAGGATCACCTTTAATACAGCTGATAGGATATCTCACACAGAAAATGCTATAACAACATTAAAGGTTTCTCTTTGGAGACTCCTACCAAAAGAAGGGGATGCACTCCTAAGGTGCCAGTTCCTCAGTTGCTCCAATACCAACTATTGCAACACAGGTAAAAATTACAGGCTTGATTCTCCTTACACTTACACTATTTATACAGAATTGTAAATTTATATTAACATGAGAGCTCTTACACCAGTGTGACCGAGAGAAACATCAAGCCCAATGATTTCTGAAACTTTCACAGCATCTGGAAAAATCACACAGATAAGGTAAATTAACGATGAAGAGAGAAACAGCTTTTAACACATCCATGGCACCAAGTCCTGCAATCTGTTTAAGCTATGTCGTGCATATTTATTCATGTACATACATATTCTCATATAAATCAAAAACATTTTGAGAGAAATTATTCAGGTGGATTGTATTTCACAGAGAGATAAGGACTTAAACTTTTTTCTCCCCTTTTAGCTATACCAGTCGAAACTGCCAAACAAAATGCAAATGTTGCTTTGGTTCTGACTTCTTGCGGAGGCCATATTGGTTTTCTGGAAGGAATATGGCCAAGGAAGTGCACTTACATGGACAGAGTCTTCAAGCAGTTTGTGCAAGCTATATTTGAGCATGGAAACAAAATCTTTAGCATGTAGCTTTGGACCACTACTATAGCACAGTGGCACATTCTGACAATTCAGCTTAATGCACAAACATTAACTACTGTAAGCCAGCAAATGGATGAAGTCCATTACTACATGCAAAAATATTTTTTGCCTAAGATTTTGTAGCAGGAAACTAAATATTATGTTGTCACTTTTGTATTTATTTTTAATATGCCTTACTAAGGATGACCTTAAATGAAACAGCATTCTGCATACATCAAATTGCACTTAACCGAAACCATCAACTAGGCAGATTATAATTCCTCAGGATTTTAATTTAAACCAGTACGTATTTAGGAGACTTAACTTAGATGGCTTTTAATATTAGACTGGCAATACTCAAATAATGTTTATTATCCTGCCATACATAGTACAAGTTGGCCCATTCCTTAAGGCACCAACGGTGAATATCTTAAAATATGAAAACAAAAGAAGGAAGGTACACAAAGAAGCACTGGTTCTTCAAGTAAGTCTAAATTTTAGCATGTAATTACATAGCATTAGACTGGTACCTGCTTTTGCTGTTTTACCCTAAAAGAATTCAAGATTTAGGGCTAGTTTTTGTTTTTTAAATTATGCCAATGCCATACTTGTCTTACATGATAATTTTTTAAACGGTTAGGTAATTTATAGTGTTTACATATAACCAAAAGATTCTTTTAAAACAGTACTGTAATAACTTATGTAATTAAAAGACATTTTGCCTTTCAAAGTTCATGTAAAGCTGTGTTTGTCATGTATGTAATACATTACTTCATATAACTGGTAAATTCAATGATTCTATCTATTATGTTTATATGATCCTGCAAGACCATTTCAGTTTTTAAGGAATAAATTATTAGAGGATCAGGAGATTGTGATATAGTCTGCTTTAAATTAAAAAAAAAAATCCATCTGAAACCTTTGTCTCTGCTATTGTTTCAGATAATTTCTAAAAAGAGGGCAACAGAAACTGTTTAAAGAAAGCAGTGGGGTGGGAGGCTGGAGCCCTGTCTTTCACAGGTTTGTTTATTTGATCACTTGTCAGCCCTTCAGCAATGCTTGGACAAAGCACGGAAGCCTCTGGAGACTGATTTGCAGAGCCTCCGAGAGGCTCGCTAGACATCAGTGGTCTCCCGAGTTCTGAAACGCAGCGATAGCTAAAGTGGATCCTTGAGGACAAAGGACGGTTGGATGTTAACTCATGTCCTGAAGCTGCTGGGAAGTCCTAATTAAGGGCATATTGAAATAAAAGAAAGCCTTTTAACCAGCTTCTGTGAAGGCCTCCTCTCATGCTAATGAGTGATTTGGGCCCAGCCACACAAGATTAGGCAGTAAGGATGCCTTTGCATTTTTGCATTTTTATTTTTATCTTGTGAGTGCGGTCAGTACAACAAGAAAAACTCAGATAAAAAAGCAAGTCTGGTCTTCTGTCTCATGCAGGAGTGAACAGTCCTCTTGCAGGGCATGTTTCCTAGTAACAGCAAAGGCAAAGGAAGAACAAAAATACTTTTTGTCCTTAGAAAAAGAAGAAATCAGGACATACTGTAAGAAGGCTAGTTTTGTGGGGTAGAAGGTTAAATTTAAAAAAAATTAGACAAGTGCTTTCAAGTTTGGATTTTTCAGACAAGGCATTGACCACAGCCCAAATAATAACATGTAATGTACTTCTGCTGTAATAAGCAAAATGAGGAAAGTGACATGTAAAAGAGAAATGAAGTTTTGTGCATTTTGCAACCACAGATGAAACCAACATATTAGAAGGGTGCCTTATTCATTCTTATATTTATTTCCATAACAGAAGTTTTTATGTTCCTACAAACACAATGAGCAATAAATTGCGTACTTAGCATTATATTCGTAGAATTGTTTCGGTACAGTACTGTTCAAAACTCACCATCAATATTAAAAACTTAAAACCACTTTTATTAAAGACATACTTTATTGCTTAAATAAAAGTAACATGATTAATGTCAGAATTACTGTCTCTTTGCACTGTCTTATTTTATTTAGGTCAATACGAATCCACATGGAGGCATTTCTCTTTAAAGCTATGTCTATAAAAGTCTGTAATTTGTTTTTGCCAGATATATAGTGTCTTTCCTTACACTCTATTAGGAAAAATGCATTGCTTCAAACACTCTTTGCAGAGTGGCAACAATCAAATTTTACTATGGATATCTTCAACCTTTCCCAGCCAGATTTTCTGAAACACATAACGTAGACAGCTATTGCAGGGAACAAAATGGCTAGCAAGAAGAGCTATGAACATTTTTCCTATGTATTATCATTGTAGCCTGTATGCATAGTTTTGCCTGCCAGCCAAAATACTGACCCCAGAATCTGCCCTCTGTTCAAAACAGTGTGAACTCATAGGGTCTTTATTTGGCTTTCCATGTGATCTGAGTATCCAGACAGCCATAGTGATATGAAATGTTGGAGAAAACTGTTAGGAATCTATTCACTCTCTTCAACACTTAAGCATAGTTCTCAATGTATTCATTCCTTGAAAGATGGAGCGTAATAAAAATGAAATTCAAAGTCCCAAAACTTGCAGACACCTCTTAAAGAAAACTTTCCCCTTTGTTCAGAATCACAGACTAGTTGAAGTTGGAAGGGACCTCTGAAGATTGTCTAGCCGCCTCCCTCCCTCCCCCCCCCAACACACACTCAAAGCAGTACATACTATATACACGCTCCAAAACGTCCATTTCTTCTCAATTTGTTTTTGGAGTCAGTGCATGATACTGCTTTTTGTATCTGTGAGGCTTCAGTCAACCAGAAACCATCTGTGACATTAGATGTCTCAGCACTGGACGTGACAGACCAAGATTTTAAGGTGCAATTTATTAAGTTCACTCTTGCCTAATAGACCTTGAAAAACTGAAGATTTAAAATTGAAAGGGAAAAAATGGGTTTACAAAGGCAGAGAAACTAACCTGTGGTATATATTTCACGCTGAACTGAAGAAGGAGGATTAATGTTCTTCTTAGAAACCAGGATATGGAATAGTACAGCTTACAAGACTTGCCAGAATGGGCTATGAAGAACAGTATAAAACTGCAGGGGCTGGTGTTGAGAAAACGGCAAGAAAACTCTGGAGACTGCAGGCAGGTCTACCTGTTCATGCTAGTACAACATCAGATATCACACTTCAGGCATCCCCGTACTGGATGTTCCAGAGCACAGTCACGCGGAGGACTAGACTGACTACTACAGAGAGATCAGAATGGGGCTCCATTTTCAAGAATTACTCCCAAAAAGTGGTTTAGGAAGGTGGTTTAGCTCCTTACCTCCTCTCAGCTGCAAGTTGCATTTTTCAACTGAGACCTCGTAGCCAGCTGTTTGAGCTCTTGCAGTCAACAACATGCAGAAGCTTGCTTATCACAGCAGTTCCCAAATGTTTCAGGCAATGTCCCCCTTCACCTTTCCTGTAATTGTCTGGTCTGCTATGCACCATTCACGTATGTACATAGTCACTGTCTGGCCTGGTCCCAGGTCCCTGTAAATCAGCTGTCAGCCTTCCCTCTGGATGTAGCTATCTACAGTCCTTTCTCTCCTCTTCCCTCGCAAAAGAGATTCTTATGCTCAACATGTGAGCAGATTGGACAAGTCCCAGCTCAGTTTATACCCACCTCCCCGCAAAAGCAAAAAAAAAAAAAAAAAAAACCACACCCAAACCCACACTTTCAACAAGGCAATGAGGGCACACTCCAGTCCCTACGTTCCCACCTACACAGAAATTTCACAGGGGAACCATCTCTTTCACCTACAACTCCTATGGCTAGCTGGGTCATGCCAATAGCTCAGATCCACCAGGAAAAAGTATTTTAGTCCTGCTCGTGGCGCTAATGAGCAAGTACACCACGTTCTCCTCAGGCAGCTCAGCTCAATGCACCGCGGCCCTGGGAAAGAAGAGGCAACCTCTGTTTGCCCAGCCATCCAGTTGCTGCCACACACATACCACTCTTAGCTTGAGCTGCGTGCTATGGTTCTCATCCCATGATGCCAGTGGGTTAAAGAGAGCCTTATAATGTGAAAGATAAGCAAGAAGAAAGAAAGAAGGTATAAAAGTCCAAGAGAAACTCCCTGGGATCTTTCCACACACCTCTAATCTATGCACTGGATCCTCGAACAAGGTAAGTTAGCAGTGTTTCTTCCCACCCATGAAAATTACTCCTGCAGCCAATCTACTGTAGAATATCCCTTTTTTTTTTTTTTTAATTTTCATTACAACAGAAGAAAAGGAAAAATCTGCCAAATACACCAGAAGCCACAACAGCCAGCAGCTCTGCCTTCATTGGGAAATCTCTTCCCCCAAGGGATCCAATTTTCCTGTCTTTTTTTCTACCAGAGATGCAAGAACCAAGCCTCTTTTTCCTGGATGGGGGTAGGGGAGCTTTTTGAATCTGCTGGCCCTATTCAGGGCCCTATTCAGTCTCAGCTGCTCTTCCAATCTCTTAAAAGATCTATACATTTAGTGAGTGCCCAGCCTGCTGTAAGAAAACCACTAGTTTAAATCAGCTTCACACGCGGCCTTAGCCAACCCGTCTGAGTCTTCTGATGCGCTAGGAGCGCTCGCAGGGTTAATTACAGCTGAGAGGTTTAAGTAGCTACTACCTCTTGATTTGTCAGTCACCACTTTCTGACTCAGATGACATAGCTAACTACCAGTAGGGCAGGTTCAGTGTGCATTAGCACGTCAAACAAGGTTGCAAGATTTGTGCCTTAGCAGGACCGCTTTGGCTGTGGCTGAGTTTAGGATCAAGAGCACAATCCCCTAACTATGTAGCCTGCCCTAAGGCTGCACTTTCAGAAGCGGCTGAGCCAATGTTAACAGCTCTCTGATGCCAAAAGGGGAAGGCTTGCTTCCCTCCTCCTGCCGGCCTTGTCCTTTCTTATACTCCCTGTTTCCAGTCCTACGGTCCTCAGCCCTTCTTTCTCTGGCAGAAGATGATCCAATTTTTCCACTGGGTTAATTTTTTTGCTAGCTCAGTGAGTTAAATTTGCTTGCTGAGAGGGGTCCAGCATGTGTTAGAGTGAGGCTGGCACGAGGTAAGGAGTTGGAGGACGCAGCTGAGAGCGTGGGAAGAAATGGGAGAAAACAGCAGGGAAAGAATTCCCCTTTTCGGTGGCAGTCAGCTGTTACATAGGGTAATGGCATCTCCTGAGACTGTAGTCCAACGAGGACTTTCACTGCAATAAGTGAGATGATCCATATATCAGTTGAGTTGTTGCTCCTGTAAAAAAAGGCATAACCTAAAAGCAAGTCACCTTTTCATTTAGCTGTAGCCAACAGGCACTTCACCAGCATTACACTTAAAATTGGTAAACAAGGCTAAACTAACACAAAATCTTTTGGGGGTGACATCTGCTCTATCCCCATGCTCCACTTAGGTGAACGCACCTCTTCCTCCCTCCCCAAGCCCCTCAGTTCCTCAGTAAATCCATGCCTAAGCACTGCTGTTCACACTTACCACGACTTCTGACGAGGGTAAATTTTCAAAAGTTTTTGTTCTTTCGGGAAAGCAAGTGACATTTGCTAACACTTTCACAGTGTAATCAGTGCTTCAAAATGCTGCCACCTTCTGTGAAAAGTTAGAAGTTTACTCATATTCTTCTATCCCATGAATTGTTTTTTCCCAAGTTTTGGAATTTAAGAATGCTTTCCTGTTTAGAACATCCCTGCTGTTCATCCTTCTACAACAAATTACTATTCAATAGAAGGCTGTGAGAAAATCTAGCTTTACTTGCTTCATGTTCCTAAAAAAGAAGGATGGGAAAACATCATGTCAAATTTACAAAGTTAGTAAGAACATAAAGAAATGCTTTTATCATTCTCCAGGAAAGTTACAGGCAACACAGTGATTAAAGTATCTTTCATCTGGAAAGTATTCTGTAGGTTCCTGTAGGAGAGCAGGAGACCACATGTTGCCGCATTCATTGTAAAGTCACAGCAGATTATCAGCATTAAAGAGGAGCTGTTTTAGGGAGTTATAAATAACATTTCCTGCTATCAGCTATTTCAAAAACTGCAGCTGCTGAAAATTTCCATTTGTCTAGGACAAACTGTGCTTCAGTGAAGTGTGTCTAGAAAGACGATTTATCAAGGAAGGCAGTTCCTTGTTGCAGTTAATAAAATGACAAATAAAAATGTACAGGTACAACATAATGTCTCAAGGAGATTTGATCTCTATATAGAAATTTTACTCTATTCAGCAGCTTGACTGCCCTTTTCAACAATTAATAAATGTAATAGGTATAGAGTAATAATAAAATGTTTGGGAGATTATAAAAAAGATTGTTATAAAAAATCAAAATAACTTTTAAAAATACTTAAAACTAACAAAAGAATATTTGCAGAAAGTTTATTCTGTGCAGCTTTTAAGTATTAAATTACTTGTGTGGTCTGTTAGATCAGTGAACTGTACAGAGTCACCAGAAATTGTATAGGGTCTCAAAAACCTGTGTGAGAAACCCTCTCACACGCTGCCACTCACGCAAGTTTTTCCCCAGATCTTTCGAGCTGGTTTATTGGTTGGCTAATGCCAAGGTTTATCACGCTGTTTTCCAGTCATTCTAATGCATCATTATAAGTTACTACATGTATTTATAGTCAAAAAACTGAGACAGCATCTATATTAACAAAGTAGAAGAGAACAAAAGCAGTTGGATATACAGAGCAAAGCTGCTAACGTTGAGATGCCGATACGCATACTACATGCATTTTAGGCAGAACTTAACTTCAGGTTAGCGTTACGTTGATCATATGGATTGAGTGCACTAGGTATGCATCTGTGCACCTCTACATTACTCTTCTAGGTTGGATTAGAAGTACAACTTTGAAGCAAATCTCCTGACTGATAGCACTTGTCATGCATCAGTCTTGGAGTGTGCAAACTGGATTCCTTTTGAATGAAACCAGACCTACAGATACATTTGCAGGGAACACCTAACACGCTCCAACCTTAGCGATCACTGCATCCCCAGGACCAGACTACAGCTGGTCTGGACTGACCTGCGTCTGGCACAGATGTCAGATCCTCAGCTCTCTGTCACTCAGATCTTATTACTTGCTACTGCAGACATAACCTCAGACTTGGAAATACCCTGAGGCAATGAATCCACAACTTAAAAGTTACACGAGGTACAAATCCATTATCCAGAGTCCTCAGCACCGAAGTAACCAAGACAGTGGAAAAACTCAGAAGCAAATATATGATTACGTTAGGGGGTGGGTTGTGAAACAGCGCAGAACACACAAGTTAGCTTGTATTTGCAGGGTTACTAGTAAGCCTGAGAAAATAAACCTCACTGGACTTAAAACTGGCAACTCAAGAGAGTGAACTCATTGCTCTGGGGAGTCGGTGACAAAGCGTACAGTACACCAGACCAGGCCACGGCCAGCAGGGCTCTTTGGTTTAGCCTCTGAAACACAGGCAGGTGCCTGTCCTGCTTTTACACTCCAGCTCCGTACACTTGGACAATGCCGCGCCTGGGGTGGTAAGACCTGCTTGTGTCAGTGCACCAAAAGCAAAGCCGATCTGCAAGAAAATTTTGGTATTGCTCCAGATTATCTTTAAACGCCGAAGACAAAAAGAGTTCACTGTTTGTGAGGAGCGGCCCACAAGCACTTTGGCAACACTGCTGCGACCACATACGGCATGCAGTAATACCATCGCTGCCGGGAAGCGTACGGCTCCGGAAGGTTTTAACCTCGCAGCCAGCTGCGAGCGCTGGCAGCGAGGCGGGGCGGGCGCGGCCGGG